TTAGAAAACACCACCAGGAGCGGTCGTCCATCTATTTTATGAGCTTTTAAAAGAAGACTACACTAAACATTGACTGTAAATGGAGGTAATATAGCATTAAAATGTCACCGGGGCTGAGGCTTTTACTGCGACTGGAAGATAAACCATCACAGTTGCTTTTTTTTTTTTTGTAAAATAGGCAAACACTTCATATAGTTGCCAGCTCGAAGCCCACAAAAAAACAGTCCCGATCTAAGCCATGTGTTGAAATCCACTGAGTAAGCAGCTAAATAACGACACTCAAAAAAAAGGGTGGGTGGGTTAGGGGGCTTTTTTTCTTCTTTCCTCGTTCATACCCGTGCAATGATCTGCCCTTCGTGTTTATCCTCAGAGGACAAACATTAGTTAACCCCTGAGCTGTGAGTAACAGTCAGTGGCCAGGCCTTGGGAAACGGGACCGATGGGCCTGCTCCGTGGGAGCCCGGTGGGACTTGGAGGGCTGCTGTCGCTGCATTGATTTACTCGCTGACACCAGAAATTGATGAGGGATCAGACTGGCCCTGGTCCAGGAGAGGCAGATTGGACAGGGAGGGAGAGGAGGGACGGGAGGGGAGGGGAAGGCTGTGGACATGTAGCTACAGCTCAAAAGAGGAGTCGCGGGGAGGGGAGCAGTGGTGGTCTGTGCAGGCTGTAGACCTCTCCCTGGAGCAGCAGCAGCAGCAGCAGCAGCAGCCGCAGCCGCAGCCGCCCGGAGGGGCCCCGGCGGCCGCGGATTGATGGAGAAAGAGCTTGGGGGACTGCTGCATACTTGTTAAGCCATTGACCTTTAATTCACACTTGTCATTTAATATATTTCACGCCAGCCGGTGTCCCTGCGGCGCCTCTGGGACTGATCTGTGAGTGTGTGTGTGCCACACAGCCCGAGCGGGAGCAGGTTGTAACACTTTGACATGCATCATGGTGAGCCCGGCGTAGGTGTCGTATTTGTAATTTTACAGTGATGAAGAAGAGGAGGAGGAGGAGGAGGAGTGGGAAGGGAGGGGGGGGGACGCCCCTGTGGTCTGCACTGTCATTGCTGCTGCTGCTGCTGCTGCTGGTGGTGGTGGATGATGATGATGATGATGATGGTGGTGGTGCGTGTGTAACCTCTAGGGACGGATCAGTGGCTCAGTGGGCAGCCACTGTCACCACACAGGCTCGTGGGTGTGACAACAAGAGGGACAATAGCAACAGGGCTGTCCTTCAGCCGCATTGGGAGCACAGGGGTGTCATCACACACACTCACACACACACACATGCCTGGATTACCTCAATCAGAGCGCGGGTTGATGCTCAGTAGAATTGCCTAGTCAACAGAGGGTGCTGCTGTGAATAGGTTTAATTAAGGTAAACATGGAGCGCAGCCCGTTTTTTGGGGGGGCTCCATCCCACCTATGGCATCGGCCTCAGACCGGTGCTCCTCTCCTCTCCTCTCCCAGCAGGGTTAGATCGAATCAGACACAGTGACAACAATAACAGCCCTGCAGAACCCCCGTCCTCTGCCTCTCAATACTCAAATGTCTTTGATTTCCAGGCGCGGTGGTTCTAATGGGCTTTCAAGACAATAAAGAAAGCGTGTTTTTTTTTTTCTTAAATTCCTGCCCTGTCCAAAGCCCTTTGTTCGGAAACAGATGCAGAAGCTATTAGACGTTATAAATGGGACGTACCTTCCACAGCCAGCACCGCAGGGACAACGAGGCTGCACACCCACAGCAGGTAATCCATTGTCATAAAGCAGGCGTTTGCCACATGAATTAAGGTGTAGAGCGGACCGGTTGGAGGGTGAGGTGGGGGAGAGGCTGGAGGAAGACTCAAAGACGCAGCAGCGCAGACGAGCTTTGTGTTCTTCGGCCACTTCTCATGTCTTCACTGCTGACTCCGGAGCAATCAGCGCCCCATCACCAGCACCGAGCGGGTCCTGCTGCTGCTGCTGCTGCTGCTGCTCCTCTGCCGCGGAGACCTTCTTCTATCAGTTCACGTCCGCTTCATTCAAACGCCTTATTATTCCTAGTCCAGACGCGTGTCTTCGCTCACTCCGCGTCCTCCCTCACTCATTCTCCTCTTCTCTGGACTTCATCCACAGCCAGCCTCTGTCCAGGGGCGCATCTCTGCGGGCAGCTTTGTGAGCGCAGGTTGCGGGAGGATGCAATTTTTTTCCACCCCTTGTCTCTGTGTCTGTGTCTGTCTGTGTGTCCAGAGGTTGAATCAGCGTCACTTCGTCCAACTCGTCCCGCGGAGCTGTTGCTCCTCTAATGCGTCGGAATGGCAACAGTGGGACTGAGACACACAGGGGGGTAGGGAGCTAATTGTGAGTCAAAGCGAACACAGTCAGAGTTAGGTTTCCGGAATGAAGTTTCAAAATAAGACCAACGTGTTTCCAAACGCCACTGTGTAAGACGGGGATGTCAAACTAATTTTCAGATACAGCATATACAAATATTATTCATTGCTGCGTAATAAAAAAAATAAAAATTCATTTATCGGGTAAAGAAGCTCAGCATGATGATTTTATAATAATAAATGCTTTTTAAGCTCCCGAGGGCCGTACAAAATGACTTGGCGGGCCACATTTGGCCCTCGGGCCTTGAGTTTGAAACACGTGATGTAAGTAATACACCTTTGTTTATGTAAGAAAGCACCTAGCGCTGTCCTTAGCGGTGTTATCAACAATCCATATAGTACAGAGCAATTATGGAAAAACACTTAACAACGGGCAGTTGTCTAGCCTTACAGCAAGATTAGCAGTTCGATCCCCGGTGCTAACTGATGGGGTTCTCCCTGTGGTTCTACTCAGTGTACTACGGCTGACCTTTACTCCGTGACAACATCAGATGCTCCCCAGTACTCACCCCTTCCCTCCCCCATCCCACATCTGTCACTACCATTTGGAACCAGGTGTTGGTCTTGCGTTGCTTTTACATCAGCCAACAGACATAAAGGACCTGACCTCCCCCACTGGTAGGTGACCTCCTCTGTCCGGTGAGCCACAGCACCGGACGGAATGTGTAATCTTCTGTATGATCTCATCTTTATACTGCGCTCTCCTAGCATCTGATCGGAATGTGAAAAATATTACGTTTCGATCGTAGCAGATGTGTGAGATGCAAATATTTTACAATTTGACTTTTTTTCTCAACATCTGTCGGTAGTTTTACTAAAAAAGGTTATGTACATTATTTAACTATTTAAGAAAAAAACATCATATTATTATTACTATTATCATAGCTGCGTTTTCTCATGGTATTATTTTTAAATTCTGTGTTCTTCTACATCGGCGTACCTCAGGTAATTTATATTTACATTTGCAAAAACGTTCAAATGTTTTACATTCTGACCTTGTCGCCTTATTTTTACTCTTGTATTTGTATTCATGACTGATCCAGTTCCGACTCTGGTCCATAAAGCCGAAGCCAAATCCAATGTCAGTACGCTGGATCATTTACAGACGCTTCGATTTACGGGTTGTCAGACGGCGAGGTGAGTCACAGCGGGTCAGAAACATCAACAACAATGACCTCATCCTCATTAGTCGCGTCACCAGTAATAATTACTGGTGCTGACATCATGCCCGAAATACGCAACATACATTTGTTAAAACTGTGAGAATTCACAAATGCATCGCTTCCGTAGTCAAATTAATTAGTCACCAGTAATAATTACTGGCGCTGACGTCATGCCCGAAATACGCAACATGCATTTGTTAAAACTGTGAGAATTCACAAATGCATCGCTTCCGTAGTCAAATTATTTTTAATATAGGTATATATATATGTGTGTGTAAAATATAGTTCACTAAAATGCAACGCTTGCGGGTTACTTTTACTCTGAAATTTCCTCCGCTCCACCACAGGCTCTGTATTTAGTTTGACGCATCTGGAGGGAGGAGGAGGAGGAACGGGAGAACAGGGGGGAGAGGAGGTGGTTGTTGGTTGGCTGATTGTCCAGCAGACTGTAGCCAGTGTGTAGCCTGCAGTGTTTGTAGTACAGGCAGCGGGTAACAGCTCTCCCAGCGGCTGAGCACTGACCAATCCAAGCATTGGATACTGTAGATGTACTGAGGCCCGAGTAATTACTACTGATTACTAGGGAGAAAAAAAAACAAAAACCAACAACAACAGAATAACCTGACAAATAAAGTTGCAAGAAAATACTAAATAACTCAGATTTAATCAACTGACAAATAAACAAAGTGGCAAGAAAATACTAAATAACTCAGATTTGACATAGTTTCCCAGTGGACAGCCATCTTTGTTTTGAAGTGTTTTTTTCCTCTGACCCGAGGATTACAAATTACGACTTCATGAAGTTGTGCTACAGCTGCTGGTGTGGATGACTGACATATAAAAAGATACGTTTGTTTGTGTTTTCATCAAAAGTTAAAAAAATAAATAAATAAAAAAAAAAGTCCAATCTGCTGCCTATTTTCAATGGGACTTTTTTGTTTTACAGAAGCCCAAAATAATGGAGTTGCGTATCCATTAAGCTTTTCTCAGCATTGAATTTAGATTAGATTAGATAAAAAGTCTAATTATTCCCTTCAGGAAGTTCCCTGAGAGAAATACATTACCAGCAGTTCAGCTTTTTTTTTTTTTTTTTGGAAATAGCTGTGCGATTATATATTTGATGTCACTTATTTCTTCCTTCCTTTTCGCTCAGTTCCAGAATCTTCGACTAACTAAACAAGCATCGGTCATATTTACATAATTACAAGGGCTGTTTGTTTGTTCGTTTGAGCCGAGGATGAAGCCACAGCGACAGTAATTATTGAATGCGCCGTCTCTCTCTTTTTTTTTTTGTCACTTCACAGCTAATCGTCCAGTAACTGCTTCTCTGTTTTCAAACGGTCTCAATTCTTAGCTCCGAGTTATCCATTTCCATTGAAAGCAGAAGTGCGAATGCGAGTTTCAGTGTGTGTGTGTGTGTTCTCACTTCTTACCCCAACCCCCCAACAGCTCAAAAACACCCCCCTCCCCTTGTAAAGTTTTCCCCCAAAAGGCCTACTGTGCTACAAACTGCCCCTCTCCCCTCACGGCCCACTCCTCCAAGACGTCGTCACTCAAACCTCCCCACCCTACACACACACACATCTACAGCCCCCCCTCTGTCACATCCACCCCTCAAAGTTTTTTTTTCTCCCTCAGGCTTTGTGCACTAATTAACTACAGTTCAATTCCCAGCAGGCTTGGGTCAACCTCCTCCACTGAGACCAGTGACGGGCAGCTCCCTGCCACCTCCCTGCCACCGGAGCAAAAAAAAAAGTCTACGAAACATGGCCGTCATTACAGACCTGAGGTGTGACAGTGCAGAACTGGGCTGCTGCTGATACTGCTGCTCAGCTTTAAAAAAAAAAAAAAAAAAAAAAAAAAAACATGCAGCAGCACTCATTGGTTTGTGTGTTTTTCTCAGGTTCCTCCGAGACTGAGGCTGCTTAAGGAAATTACAGGAAAACCCAGCACGGCATCAGTCATCCAATTCCCTCAGTATCAACTACCGCAGCACAGGGAAGTTTCCTGACTGGATAATAAAGGGGAACATAGGAGAGAGGGTGAGAGGGTGAGAGGAGAAGGCGTTGTCGAGTCCAGGTTTGACTGACAGGGACTCGGTCAAACCCGGGCTCTGCCGCCGTCGCGATTTTCATCCCAGCAGTTGTTGTACGGCGGCCTAGAAATCTTTCTCGCAAGTCAACTGTCACATGGCAAGATTTACAGATTGCGATCATATTTCTATGTGTGTGTATATACAGATGAATAATTGTTTGTGCTTGAGTTGCTGCTGCGACAGGTGGAATGAGGAATTTTTGCTCCACAGAGAGAGAGAGAAAGAGAGGGAGAGAGAGAGACTTCCAGTCCTGCTGCAGATGAGGAATCAGCTCTCGGACTCAAGGGGTGGGGGGATGTTGGAGGGGAGGGGAGGGAGGGGTACATAAATTTAAGAGTGTGTGGAGAGTAGACACAAAGAGTCAGGGATGAGGAAATGAGATTGGCGGGACAGCAGTGTTAAGCTGACAAGCAGCGATGACGGAACATCTCCACAGAGCCAGACTATCTGCTGCAGCGAGCCTGTGAGTTATGGAGTCTGTCCAGTCAACTGTGGGGTCTATGAATGGAGATGACAAACACGTATGTGCACACAAACGTTTTGAGTTTTTTTAGATAAAGTTGAGGATTAGTGGGAAATCAATGCAGCCTTGTCTTTATCAATTTTACAGTAAGGCTCACGTTCCTTCCTCACCACCTGCTGGAGTCCAGGCTGGTGTTCTCTTCCTCTTCAAATCGATATTTTTAACTTTTTTTTTTTTTTAACCTCAAACTCCACCTTTCATCATACAAACAGATTGAACGGATTTCTAGAAGCTTTTGGTGTTTTCTGTTTACAGAAATAGAAAAATAGGCCAAAGCTGAGTTTGAGTTTGACTCGCTGAAGAAGATTTAAAAAAAAAAAAAAAACGCAGCTCACTGCACGCTGTTTCCACAAGGGGTAGGTCGAGCCGATACGCAGGATTGAATCGGTCAGATACTGGTCGGAATTTCAGTGCGGAACATCGAAAACAACAACTCCAGCCCCTTTGATTTAAACCCAAATGCTCGATTTTTTTCACTTTCAAAATTCATCAAGCGGGCCATATTTGAACCCCTAGTGGGCCGGTGTTGGCCCACGGGCCATGGATTTGACACCCCTGTCGGTTCCCTGCCTTTCGTTCTACCCTCAGATTAACGAGAGCCTTACCGGTGCTATTATCTGATGTCAATACACAAAAGCTAAATCATGAGGGAAAATATTATCGCAGCAACTACGACAGGATAAAGCCAGCTCATAAAACACGCAGGGTTGACTGTCTTTGGGTGGTTTTGACAAATATTTTTTTGGCTCGCTGCTGTTACGCTCTGCCAAACTAAGAAAACCGTCTCCTGGCTGTGGCTTAGTATTTACTCTGCCGACAGAGGAGCTCTATTAATCTCCCCCAACTCACAGGAGCTGAATTGCGAGCATTTGCCAAAATGCATAATTACAATAGTTTAAGCGTCTGAATGTCAGACTGAAAATATATGAAGAAGAATTCACCATTCGTAGCTAATCCCTGTTTTGTTTTTTTTTCTTTTCCTCTGGGGGGCTGCACTCGCGAGACATCCGGAAAATGATGTGTCAACAAACAGCGGGAGACGGAGTTAATGGGAGACAAAAATGACAGATAATGAAGGGGAAAACAATCAGGAGACTATGCCCGAGGAGTTTTTTTTTGTTTTTTTCGCCTTCCTCGATATTCTGTCGCTGTCAGTCTTAGCTGCTTGTTCGCTAACAAGGCCGAAATAAAGAACCGGTGGAGCTCCTCGCTAGGGACAGCGTGTGAAATAGTGCAGGCGTGGCGTTGGGCTCCATTGAGGAGAATGGTATTGATATGTGATTGTGTTCGGACAGAGTGGGTGGCTGTTAGTCCAGGGCTGAAGGCCACGAACAAAACAGGAGCGGGAGGTTTTTTTCCACAAATGGCTGTCAGCGGTCGGCTCGCCCTCTGCACTGCTCGCTGATTAAACATGAAATGAAATGAAGCCTCTTTCGAGAAGCCGCTCGTGCTCGTGCTCGTCTCGGCGACGCAGCTCCAGGGTTGGGATGAAGCTGTCAGCCTGCAGCTCCGGGGGTGTTTGTGGGTGTAGATCTCCACACCTGGCAGCAGCCGTGCTTCCTCTTACTCTCGCTCTGACTTCACAGGTAATCAGTGGAGGGCTGTCATTTATTTTTATTTTATTTTTTTTTATATACAGAAGGTTTTAAACCTGAGGTGATCTAAAAGGCGTATGAAATAATTAGCGCTTCATCCGTGAAGTGAGGCGGCCCGCAGCAAAAACTAATTAAGAACAATTCCATTTTGGAAGGCACTCCGATTTTTTTTTTTCCTTTTTCCTTTTTCCTTTCAGGAGAAGTCTTTGGCTTCAGAATTATTCACAGGAGGCGTTATTGATGATTCGCCACATTCGGCAATTTTCCCACCATTTTCCTCCTCCATTATTCATCCACCTCTACTTTTTAATCTCCTGTGAGCTGACTCAGAACTCCACTTCCATTTGCAGACGACTCCTCCTCTACACCCATGTCTGTAGCATTGATTAAATGGACCCCAGTGGGCTGGGGGGGGGGGGGGGGGTGTAATTGGGGGGTTTTTTTATGGGAGCTTTTTTTTCGT